TGGTTCGGTGTGTACACAGTTACTGTTGTTTACCGGCACAGAACCAACAGAACCAACATGTAATGTAATCTCAGTGTCAGTCCTCAGAGCGGTTCGGCTCAGGCTGTTACAGCAGAGCTGGTGGGAAGAACTCACTTTTCTTATTAGATGTTATATTAATGTTGCATTTAACTAAAACGTATTATTTGCTCTACCTACGGTTTGGTAGCCGATCGGAGGGATGGATAAACTGTTTAGTGATTAAATACAAGAGTCAGCAGGAAGTTGAATATGACGTCAGTTATCCAGGGTGGTGTTGTTGTTGTTGTTGTTGTTGTTGTTGTTGTCTTTAACTCTGTGCAGGAATGCGGTTTCATCGAGTCCCGCCGGTGTTACCGCTCTGTTGACCCTGACCACGGGAAACAAACCGCACGCCGCCTCATACCCTCCGTCTGTGCTCGCCGTCCGTCTGAACGCCGTCACGCTGCGTCACTCGGAGCCGTTCCACTCTTTTATTCAATATGTCTTCATCAGAGACCGAGAAAGAAAAGCTGAGAAGTGTCTTAAAGGTGTTTGGTTCAGTGTCCGTCAGCTCGGCCCGTTACACCATGTTTCCTCTCTTTCAGACTCAGTGGGACTTGAACTCGGCTCGGAGGGTTGCTGGTTGGTTGATGTCAGATAGAAATGTAACGCAGCAGTAACACACATTGTCTCTCCTGTCGCTGTGGAAACAGTAAATGAAGAAATAAGCCGCAGTCGTCTGGACACAGAGTCGCTGTGAAGACACATTTATATAACCTTTATTTTAACAAAACGTTACGGCCCTCCTTCTTCGTTCTTTGAGTTAACTGACTATATTACACGATGTCAGCTGATTAACAGCGGACGTTTGTGGATCACCAGAGATTTGGATGAATTTCGAGCCTTTTTCTTCGATTATTTCCTGTGAATTATTTATCAGAGATGAAGTTTTTTCTGATATCTTTAGGAACTTTTTATACGATTCTCCGTCTGTATTATTGTTAACAATCACACAGACTTAAAAGAATTCAGTGTTTTCTTCTCCCGGATATTTGCCCGTTGTTCTTCTGTAATGTGATAAATTGGAAAGTAACTGTTAAGATTGAAAATTATTAAGTTACACAAACTCAGTTTTGTAAGTTTAAAAACCTTCTTGATTCAGTAAATTTTACCATCTAAGTCAGTTTCACCTAAAATTACTGAAGTTACTTGATCAAGAATATTTTTTAACTTACTAAATTGAGTTAATTTTACTTAAATTTGAATCCGTTCCAACAGTTTTTGGAGTTAACTGAATCGATCTGGTTTCACAGAGTAATCTAAACTTTGAAACAACAGTTTCATGTAGTTTTCTCCACAGAAATAAATGAAATGTTGAGATTAAGACGTACTGGTCGTTTAGGATGGATCGATCATTACCTGCTTT